TATAGTCGGTCACAAGGGCATCAGTATCGGTCTTGGGGTCTACCGGAGAGAAGAAGGGGAAGAAACAATAAATAGCAAGCATACAAATGCAACAGAAAGCACGACATGGCAGTAAGCGATGCTAGGGGTGCTCTAACGCGGTACTACACGTTGCAAACGGAGAGGAAAACTGTCCGAAGGGGTTTTCCCGGCGTCTTGCTTTTTTCAGACAAACGAAAGAGAGGGGACGATTCCATGTTCAGCATGCTAGGGGCATGTGACAGATGAATGGGCCGCTTATTCGGATTCGTTGTATTTTTCTAAGCAACTTTCATATATAAAACATTTTCATCGGAGTTACGGTTTATTTTCTATTAATTTTCAAAGTTTTAAACATTTCTAGAATTATTTTTAATTCAAAAATCCAACTAAAGTATTAGATGCACCCGGTGCAGTGCACCCAGCAGTGCGCCAGAGGCTGACCATTGGGGCCCAGTTGACTGCTGACGCAGCAGTCAATAGTGGACCATTGACTGGTCAACAGGGCCCCCGGGCCCACTTGTCATTGAGACGTTTATTTTAAAATAGAGGGTTAATCATTTTTGTTAGCAGTGGGGGCCCAGTGGTCAGTGTGCATTAGTGGGGCTTAATTAGCAGAGTCATTAGCGCTAAAGGCAAAGCCATGTCGGCGGCTAACGGCGGCGATGGCAGAACGCGCCGGTGATGGCTGTTCGGTCGACTCCGGCGACGGGAGGGCGCGCCGCTGGGCCCGTTGGAAAACTGCCGAAGCGGCGCCTCCAACGGTGGCGTCGGCTGGCGCCAGGGAGGACTCTAGCGGCGGTGGCGGTGACCTGAAGCGGCGGTGGAGGTCGCGGCCATGACGGGGCTGGGGCTAGCAGCGGGCTGCGTGAGCTCAGCGGCCGCGGGGCGCGGTAGGGGTGGCAGCAGCGAGGAGCAAAAGCGTGGACGGAGGGGCGTACTGGAGCGGCAGGCAGCAGCAATATCGGGCAGCGGCGGGCACAGGCGCGGGCGACGGTGCTCTCCGGCGAGCAACGGAGCGGCTCAATTTGGAGAGAGCCCAAACACTTCAGGACACGCTGCAATTGAGTAGCGAGTGACACCTATTGTGTGGAGCGCCACACAAGGCACAAACATGGGAGGTGCCCATGTTCCGATGGTGAGGAACATCACTGGTTGGCAATGAATGTTTGGGCAATCTCCATGCGAAAATAGAGAGGATTTTTTTAAGACAAGAAGATAGAGATAATTTTTTTTAGGATCATTTTTTTGAGAAACTTTTTTTTCCGAGGATCAAATAGAGAGAAATGGACTCGAAGTTATGATCGGTTCATCTCCAACATTGGCCCAGACGGCAATGCAACATATACACACCACTTTCCTCATCTAAAGAACGAGCCCACTGCCCAGGCCCATTTTTCACTTTGCTGCTCGCTCCTACACTAACCCACACGCACGGTCGCACCCGCACCTCACCTCATCTCACCAGAGAGAAAGAGAGAGAAGAGAGAGAGTCCGAAGAAGAAGACGGCGGCGGGATGTTTCTGCGGCGGATCCTAAGCGGCGGGGGCGGGCTGGCGGCCATGCGCTCTGCGCGGGCGGTGAAGGAGACGACGGGGATCGTGGGTCTGGACGTGGTCCCCGAGGCGCGGGATGTGCTCATCGGGCTCTACACGCGCACCCTCAAGGAGATCGAGGCCGTCCCCAAGGACGAGGGCTACCGCAAGGCCGTCGAGTCCTTCACCCGCTACCGCCTCCAGATCTGCCAGGAGGAGGAGGACTGGAAGCGCATCGAGGACCGCCTCGGCTGCGGCCAGGTCGAGGAGCTCATCGAGGAGGCCGAGGACGAGCTTAAGCTCATCGGCAAGATGATCGGTTCGTGCCTCTACGATTACCCGTTCCCCTTTCTTTGCCCCGATTAGTTACTTTTGTGTTTTATTATCCTTGTCTGATCGATATATGGGGCAATCGATGGATGTGCGGGGAGTAGTTTGTTTGCCCGTTTGGTGATAAGGGATGTCTTCTCTTTTGATACGGGGAAATGCGAGGTTGCCTGCGGATTGCTCGTTGAGAAAATGTCCTTTCTGCTCTTCACCTAGTGCAAATGGTACGTTAGGGTTGCATAGGAGTAGCTAACGCTTACTGTTCAACTACCAGTAGATCTGGCAACCTTTGTCAACAGATGGAAATTTGTGTGAAATTAATTAATGTTCATCTCAAACATTGAGATACACAAGACTGCGTGATTATTGGTGTACTATGGGTATGTTTTTTTTTTTTTTTTTTTTTTACTATGGGTATGTTTGGATTGCCACCAACGTTTATCCTACCAATTTTTTGGTCATGACCTAAAGTCTAAAACATCGGTCCATGTTTGGATGATTGCCAACGTTTGGGCATGCCAATGCTTCTTTGGTAGTCCTAGTTCATTGTCTAGCCAATGTTGGCCAACTCATGGGCAAGCGAAACCTCTAATTTTGGCTAGCCAAAATTTTGGCAGGACAAACTTGGACACAAACCAAACACACCCTATAGTCTTTCATAGTTTTGGTCTCACGGTGGATTGCTATGCCCATAACATTGTTGACCCAGAATCCAGTTCAGGAGCTCAACGGGTGCTACATCAGAAAATGTCCATTTCTGGTAACATTGTCCTCCCATTAGGAACAGTGCACATTTTCCGAAACGTTGCTAGACCGTGGCAGAACAAGGGTGCAGCTTTAGCCTATCCCCTTACACATCTTTTAAGCCGATGTTGGACGTATCAGCTATGTAATGTTTTTTGTTTCGTCAAATTCAGATTAAATGCACCTCTATCCCATTTAAAACTGAGATAATCTTGGAAGAAACAATCAACTATGGTTTTTCTTTCTATGCATAGTAAAATTTAAATGAGCTGCAAATTTGGCTATGTTGCTGGGTCGGTGTTAAACATTTTGTGGCCTGCTCTTCACCTCTTAGCTCCCCTTGTTGAAATGGTGGTACAGGGAGTGAGGGATTTGATGATATTACCAGCGAAAATAAGACATCTAATGATCTGGAAGCACCTCAACTTAAAGTATTCATATCTACATAACCAAGTTATATGCTCCTAATTGGGGAATAATTGTACTGCCATATTTCTATTAGACACGAGAACAAGACGACAGATCAATATGGCCAATTTCTACAATATCTCGGGTGAATACGTGAAAAAGTGTCTTATTTATAGTAATGGTTATATGTCTCACGATGAAGGATATTTGAGATTTTTTGTTTATATAAGTTTTTTCAATACAAATATCATGCTGGGATTGGTTACTAGCTCCAATTTGATACAAATATCATGGGCGCTTTCTTGAAGTAATCTCATTGATATCACTAGCAAGGTAGTTTGGCTGATTACAATACATGTATTAAGCTCTTTATGGCAGCAGATTTTCTTTCAGAAACTGGGAATTCCAATCTTCTCCGCACATTATACTTTGTTTAGTACTATGGTTCGTTTTATAGATGGGAGTGGTCAGCTCACATTATGGAGTAAATATGTTTTGAGCAAATTAGATGGCAGATATCAATGAGTTGTAGCATGCACTCACAAGAGTGATTGTCTAATGATATTCTATTTAGGCTATTTGATGCTCAAGGCAACCATCATAGTTACATTTCTTTAATGGGTTTTTATCAGTTATGCCACCGGTTATGTCCCACTACTCAGTTTTGCCACTAGAAATTTCAACTGCTCAAAAATGCCATCGCTTCATTAGACACATGCTCAAAAATGCCACTAAACACCATATTGTGATCTCAAATCTCTTTTGCCATGTTATAATGACATAAATACCTATGAACCAACATGCCAGCTCTCCCTCTATCTCACTACAATAAAGTATAGGGCCCCCTTGATCCCAACAACGTTCTTATTTTCCTATAAAATTATTCGCTTGGTTACTCCTGACAAGTGGGGCCGCACATATCATTGTGTGAGAGAGAGAACTGACATGTGGGTCTAGGCTTATTTTTCTCATAGAACATGGTCAACGGGTTTGACGTAAAAATAACAATGTCTAATGGCATTTTTGAGCAAACATCTAACAGAACGATGGCATTTTTGAGATATCTAATGGCATTTTTGAGCAAGCATCTCACAGATTGATGGCATTTTTGAGCAGTTGTAACTTCTAATGGCAAAACTGAGTAGTGGGACACAACCGGTGGCATAACTGATAAAAACCCTTCTTTAATCTGTCAGTCTGTCACCATATATGCTTAATGCATAACACCTTATGAGAACAATTTCTTTCGGTTTTATTAAATTGAAAAGTGACCTGTTGGTTACAGGGTGATTTGTTGAATACGAAAGCTGAACCGTTTTGTGTTTCATCACTGGTTCGCAAAGTTACTTTTGCCATAACACTTGATACAGTTAATGGATGTACCCATCTTCCATTTCTTTTGGATTAAGATCGCAGACTGTGCCTATGCCCGAAATGCTGTTTTTTAGGCTATTGTCTCCAGTATGAGAATCTCTAATTGATACAAAAGCTTTCAGTATCAGTTCTATTTTAATTACTATATGTTGCAATGCATTGCAGAGTGGGATCCCTGGGGTGTTCCTGATGACTACGAATGCGAGGTGATTGAAGATGACACACCTATTCCCAAGCATGTTCCGCAGCACCGGCCCGTTGCACTACCTGAGGAGTTCTTCAAGACATTAGATGCCATCAAATCAGATCCAGCTCTGCAGGGCGACTCTCCTCCGCAAGTGAAGTCATGAAACTTGAACTCTTCAAGATGCATCATTTTTCACCTGCCGCAGTGTGTAGTTGAGACTAGTCTCATGGGTCCTTTGCCTGCAGTTTGCTTGTTGTCCTGAGCAGAATAAATTTGTTTCTGTGAATGTGAATGCGTTTTTAACGCAGTGCTTCAACACAGTAAAATACTGTTTCTGTTTTCTATTAATCGATGTTGACAAAAGATCAAATGCTGGTTTGTTTTATACTTTTTCGATTCATGTACTTCAAGAACCCTGCACTTCTTTAAGTGTCATTGCCTAGTGATTACCTGCAACCTGTATTAAGGTCTTTAAGCATTTCAAAAGCACCATTTTCCATGTACTGTATTTGACAAATGTTCCTGTAGGCATGGTATTTCTTTCCTTCTACCACATTCATGTTTTTTTTTCAAGAAAGGATGGCTCTTCAGGTGGGTTGCCCGTCTTGAAACTAAAACCTAACCGTGATTAAAATATAGTAAATTCTAAAACTACATTACGGTGCGTTGCAACGGGATACACTGGGGGCGAAATTGGACTATTGTGTGGTAGAAACTGCTAGCATAGCAGCATCAATGTATCGTTGCGGTAGAAAATTATTAGTTATTGGTCATATTAATTTAGTTCCATATTTTAGTCGCTCGTTCTTTAAAATATCATGTATATTTAAATATACAAAAATATAGTACTTTCTCCGTAAAAAAATATAAGAACGTTTAGATCACTATTTTATATTTAAATATACAAAAATATAGTACTTCCTCCATAAAGAAATATAAGAGCGTTTAGATCACTATTTTTAGTGATCTAAACGCTCTTATATTTGTTTACAGAGGGCCTGTATGGCTTACTTACATGATGCAAACTTTTTATGCAAATTTAAATCTATATCTCCAACTGTTCTATTCAAGGTACAACCTACACCATCGATCTCTATATACTTCTGAAACCGACTCAAGAAATGAGCAAAATTAAATCTCAGACATTAAGTTAAAAATTAAATTGAGGAATGCCACCCACTTAAAAAGTTATTCAGATCTCGATACAGATTAGCGGTAAGAATTATACCTAATCTAGTGGATAAAAAATGGCAATATGGTCACCTCTCATGATTCCTCTCTTTCCTTGCGTCTTCTTCGTCTTCTTCTTGCATAACCTTCCGGTTACCATAGTTCCACCATGACCAATGAGTCATGGCTTCACCATCTTGATGCTGCTAACTTGATGGCTTCTACAGGAGTAACATGAATCATGGGCGCTTGGGGGTATGACGAGTTGATGGATCAAGTTGGAGTAAGTACAAGTTGTTCCATCAACTCGTCATGTTACTCATGTAGTACTCTCCAAGCGCCCATGCCCAGCCTTTACGGGATTCCACAAATGCGAGCGGAATTTTTTGTCGCTGGCATACATTAATTCATCTACACAACACCTCTATTCTTGTCCTTGTCACCATCGGTGCATGCTGTCCGCCGGTTGACCCGGCCCTAAGACACACGAGGGTGTCGTGATGGAAATATGCCAGAGAGGCAATAATAAAGATGTTATTATTATATTTCCTTGTTCATGATAAATGTTTATTATTCATGCCAGAATTGTATTATCGAAAACTTAAATACATGTGTGGATACATAAAGGAATACCATGTCCCTAGTGAGCCTCTACTAGACTAGCTCGTTGATCAAAGATGGTTAAGATTTCCTAACCATGGACATGTGTTGTCACTTGATAACAGAATCACATCATTAGGAGAATGATGTGATGGACAAGACACATCCGTTAGTTCAGCATATGATCGTTCAGTTTATTGCTACTGCTTTCTTAATGTCAAATACATATTCCTTCGACCATGAGATCATGTAACTCCCGGATACCAGAGGAATACCTTTTGTGCTATTAAACGTTACAACGTAACGGGGTGATCATAAAGATGCTCTACAGGTATCTCCGAAGGTGTCTGTTGAGTTGGCATGGATAGAGATTGAGATTCGCTCCGTGTATCGGAGAGGTATCTCTGGGCCCTCTCGGTAATACACATCATAAGAAGCTTTCAAGCAAAGTGACTAAGGAGTTAGTTATGAGATGATGTATTCCGGAATGAGTGAAGAGATTTGCCGGTAATGAGATGAAACTAGGTATGAAGATACCGACGATCGAATCTCGGGCAAGTAACATACCGACAGACAAAGGGAATTACGTATGTTGTCATAAAGGTTCGACCGATAAAGATCTTCGTAGAATATGTAGGAACCAATATGGGCATCCAGGTTCTGCTATTGGTTATTGACCGAAGAGGCATCTCGGTCATGTCTACATCATTCTCGAACCTGTAGGGTCCGCGTGCTTAACGTTCGTTGACGATATAGTATTATATGAGTTATGTGAGTTGATGAACGAATGTTGTTCGGAGTCCCGGATGAGATCACAGACATGACTAGGAGCTTCATAATGGTTCGGAGGTAAATATTGATATATAGGATGATGATATTTGGTCACTGGAAATGTTTCGAAATGTATCGGGTAGTCATCGTGTCACCGGAAGGGGTTCGGGGAGGCCCCAGGAGGTTATTGGGCCATATGGTCCAAAAGAGGGGAGCACACCAGCCCACAAGGGGCTGGCACGCGCCACCTCTAGGCCGCTGGCCCTAGGGAAGGAAAGGGGGGGAGGGCTAGCCCCTCATG